AGAAAAAATAACTTGTACTGTATAGGTGGAAAATAAACAGCTGTTACAAAGTTAGATGTGTTTCTTGTAGTAAAAATTGGAAAAAAAACCCTGTATAAGTAAAAAAAACTGTTAAAAAAAATCCTGTAATCCTATCAGCCAGATTGAAACATGCCATTCTTCAAAATCTTTCCTTTGTACGCACATAGATATCCAAATATATATCTTTTTTTTATTAAGGTATCATTGATATACAATCCTATGAAGGTTTCACATAAGCAGCATTGTGGTTTCAACATTCACCTATACTGTCAAGTTCCCCTCAACCCCACTGCAATCAAATTATCCGTCACAGGAGATGCTATAATCATTACTTGTCTTCTCCATGCTGTACTGCCTTCCCCGTGACCTACCTATATTGAGTGCTAATTATAGTGCCCCTTAATCCCCTTCTCCTCCCTCCCTTCCTACCCTCCCCAATCCCTTCCTTTTGGTAACCACTAGTCCCTTCTTGGAGTCTCTGAGTCTGCTGCTGTTTGTTCCTTCAGTTTTGCTTTGTTCTTATGCTCCACAGATGAGTGAAATCATTTGGTACTTGTTTTTCTCTGCCTGCCTTATTTCACTGTATGTCTCTCTTTTTAAATGGGATCACACTGTGTGTGCTATTTTAATTTTTTTTCCCTCTTAACAAGTGTATTTCATCAAGTCTAATATGCCTTTGCCTGTAAGAAGTATCATTATTTTATATATCACTTAAAAAGTTTCCAATTAAACTAGGACACAGCACTAACTGTGTAAGATTCTAATTGTGTAAGGATCTCAGATGTTAAAATATAAAAAAAAAAAAATCTTAGAAATGATGAAATGGGGTATAACTTTACCATACTTGTGTTAGAATTTAAACACATCATACTCAATAGTTGTATACTTTTCCACTTAATGCTTTGTACCATTATACATAAATCCCAATGGGTTGCCCTTTAATTCATATATATAATTTTTCACTATAATAAATGATGTTACAACAAATAATCTTCTATGGAATCTCTGAGCACATTTTAAATTATTTTCTCAGGATAAATGCCCATAAGTAGAATTATATTACAAAAAAGATAGCATAATTTTAAGATATACCTTTCAAAATCATCTTGCAGCAGTGTATAAATGTATCTATATTTCTGCAAAAAATGGGGTTTTTGTCTTTTAATATTTGCCAACCCAATATGTAAAAAAATAACTCCAGTGTTAATTTGTTTCCTTGATTACTAACAATGCTGAACATTTTACCACTGAGAACTTGGGCCTGGGAATCAGTCTTGAGTTTGTACCTTAGCTCCCAGGAAGCTTTGAATAAGTTGCTTAATTTCTCAGTCTGTTTGCTGCTCTACAAAATGGGAAAATAACATTAGCAAAGATTATATGACATAACATTTAAAGCACTACTACTCTGCCTGGAACATATTAATCACCCAACAGATATGGTTACTTGTTTACCTTAAAGCACAGATGTGAGGCTCTTTTCTCTTCTTGAAATCATCAGACTTGGTCATGAAAAAAGAAAAAATGATTTATTTCACATATTAGACACACAGAGGAGAGTAGTTCAGTGAGCACTCTGGCAGGACAGCAATGTGGTTAAGAGCCTGGACTCTGGGAAGCTGACTGCCTAGGCCTGATGCATGGCCCCTCCATTTGCAGTTCTGTGACTTGGGCAAGTTACTTAGTCTCTCTGTGCTTTATTCACTCAAGAAACACTTAAATAGTTGTTGCAGTGGGGCTTATATTCTTATTGAGGGGGACAGACAATAAACATTAAAAGCCAACTATTAGTATAAAATGTGCATAGGAAAAAAACAGCAGGGTGAGAGGGACTCCGAGTGTGGACAGTAGGAAAGGGTCTGGGGGTATAAACAGGGTGAAGATGACTTGAAGGACATTGGGAAGTGGGCCAAGGGAATATCCAGGAAAGATAATTTAAGGTCCTGAGTGTGAAAGCATGTTTGACCTATTCAAGAAAGCAGAAGGAGACTATGTGCCTGGAGTGCAGGGCATGAGGGGGAAAGGGGAGGTGAGGCCAAAGAGGTAATGGGGGCCTTAGAGCCATTCTGTGTGCTTTGAAGGCACTTTTACTTTTAGAAAGTAATGAGGAACCATTGGAGTTTTTGAGCAAAGTAACTCAAGTAACATGGCCCCTTTTACCTTTTTAAAAATTGAGACAAAAGTCATGTACATAAAATTTACCACCTTAACCATTTGAACGTGTGCAATTCAGTGGATTTTTAGTATATTCATGTTGTGCAACTATCACCACTTTCTAATTACAGAACATTTTCATCACCCCTAATGAAACTCTGTACCCATTAGACAGTCACCCCACATTCTCTCACCCCTAAGCTCCTGGCAATCACTAATCTACTTTCTCTCTATATATATGTATTTGCCTATTCTGGACATTACATATACATGGAATCCTGTAGCATGTGGTCTCTTGGGTTTAGCTTCTTTCACTTAATATGTTTTCAAAGTTCAACCATGTTCCAGCAGCATTAGTACTTCATTCTGAATAATATTCTGGCTGAATAATATTCCACTGTATGCTGATGCTGCATTGGCTTATCTGTTCATCAGTTGATGGACGTTTGGGTTGTTTCCACTTTTTGGCTATTATGAATAATGCTTCTATCAACATTTGTGTACTAGTTTTTATGTGAACATAATTTCAATTCTCTTGGGTCCATTTTCATTCAAAATAACATAATGGCTGTGTGATTACATAGGTGGGCAAGGGTAGAAGTGGGGAGAATGGTTCATATACTAGTAGAGTAGTACTTATGAGGGACAAAGATGGCTTGGAACAGGTGTTGGCTGTTGGCAGTGGAAGTGGATAGAAGTGGGTTTCTCTGGATATATTTTGGAGGTTAAAGCTGCACAATTTCTTGTTAACAGGGTATAAGGTATGAAAGAGGATTCAAAGATGACCTCAAGGCTTTTAGCCTGTACCAGTGGGAAGACTAAGTTGCCATGAACTGGGATGGGTAAAATTGCAGGTAGAGCAGATTTAGGGGGAGATCAGGAATTTAGTTTTGGAATCAAGTGTGAGACATTATAAATCCAAGAGTAGAGGCAAAGCCATGCGGTTCCCTGGAAATCTGCTTAGAAGTGGTCGAAGGGCAAAAGCCAAGAAGTCAGGTACAAAAGGAAGACCTACCAAAGGAAATTAAGCCTCACAGTGAGGCTGAAGGAAAACCAAGAAAGCACGGTATCCTGAAAGTAAAGTGAAAGAAATGTCTCTAGGAGGAAGGAGTAGCAGAGTAGGCCAAATGCTGACGAGAGGTCAAGTGAAATGAGGCCTGAAAACTGATGACTGGATTTCTAATGTGAAGTTGTGACCTTTTAGTTTCAGTGTTGGTGAAAACCTGATGACAATGGGCTTAACAAAGAATGGGAGGAGAGGAATTTGAGGCAGTACAGAGAATTCATAAGGAATTCTACCATCAAGGGAAGCAGAGGAATGGGGTGGTTATGAAGGGGAAAGTTAGGTCAAGAGAATTTTTCTTTTTAAAGATGAGAACAGCTTTCTTTTGTTTGTTTAAGGGAATGATCCAGAAGAGAAGGAAAACTGATGCAGTTCCATCGTCTGTAAAACAGGAATAGTAAAGTACCTTCTTCATAGGACGGTTAAGAGGATTTTATGGATAAATATAAAGCACTTGGCATGGAATAAAGCATACATTCAATAATGCTTGCTTGGAAATACATACACTAGCAGGCAACTTGTAATGACACAATTGGTTGCAAAAGGGTTGGAAGATGTCAGACACAACTGTCACATCAAATCATACCACAGGTAAAGAAAAAGGGATGTTAAGTGACGTCTGAAGGAATAGGAGACTGAAAACAGGCTTTATATTTACTGTCATGGAATGGATAAGTTCAGTCCCAAAGTGAACACAGTAAAAATTATTCACAGCAGAGTTTCACAAAACACCCAAGGAATTGAAAGTAGTGATTTCTTTTTCTTCCTCATCACCAAGGCCCTTTTCATTATTTTGCCTCTCACTGACTTCATAGTTAGAAGTATTTTTATCTACCAAACTGCATTAGTTAAAAACTACCTTGATTTCTGTTTTAGCAATCAGAGATGCAGATAGTCCTAAATCAACAAAAGAGGCCCAGTGTTATCAAAGCTGATATAATTACAAAGGCAGACGACTGTGATTTTTAATTAACCTATGCAACTTTATTATGGCTAAAAGTTTAATTTTCATTAGATTTTCTGAATTACTAAGAGTCACATCATGCATGTATTTAACCTGGCTAATTAGGTCTTATGTATAAGCCCAGAAATAGATTGGGAGAAACAACTAACTGACTAGACAATTAACTTTAGCGTAAAAAAATAAAAGCGAGGAAGGGAAATCTGTTGTTTACTGTCTGATCCGAGATAAAGAGAAATCAAGGGGAAAATGCAAAGAAAACAAAATAATTCATCTTTATTGTTTTTGTTTTATTTTTTTGTGATTTTAAGGGCTGATGTCCTTTGGGTTTTATAGAGGCTTTCCAAGAGTGGGGAGACCAATGACTTTTATTTCTATACATAGATGAGCCCTGTCTTCTAGAGTAGAAAAACCAGCCTTGATTTTGGGACAGTCTCTTCTGTCAAGTTAAATTGTCCAGTAAAAAAAGAACGCATCTAAGTCTCTGTAGGACATGCTGCAATGCAAAACCATACAGCAGTACATCAAACCACCAAACATAAAGACAGGAACTCAAACATTTAAACGGCTATTATTTTTCAATGTACAACTCTCTTTATCATGCCACTCCCAAAAAGCAATGTAACCCTTTTGTTTATAACGTATTTACATATTGGCTTACTGTACCTCTTGATTATCTGTCACCATCACTATTGGACTTTAACATCTTACAGGGCAGGACCTGTCAAAAACTACCATATAATAATTACAGCACCTAACACATCATCAACACTCAGTAAGCTTATGTTAAATGAATGAATGTATTTTAACAACGTCTAGTAAAGGACCCTCCAAGGCAAACCCAATCTAAAACCTGAGGTCTAAAGGTACAGAATAATTTAAATATAATGAATTTCTGAAGTGGAGGAGCTAATATGAAAGGGGCATAAATACCTGCTGGAACTTATATAAATCGTTATACTTTTCATGGAAGTCTAAGCTCAAAAGTTCCTTCTGAAGCCCTTCCAAGAAGTTCTGGTTTGGGATGAAGTTTGGGATCACACAGTGAAGGAAGGGGTCCATGTCCATGGCAATGGCTTCTGTTGGAAAGAAAACATTATTTACAGCTTTTTTCCCATTTTTGAATGGTTGACCCCTGGTGAGCACAGCAGAGAGAATACAAAAGGAGATGGTCAGGAACTTTCAGAACATAGTACTAAAGCCTAAAATGTGGGGAAAGAATTACAAGCTCCTCCTTTTTTTCTTTACCCATTCAATACTACACTGTAAAGATTATGCTTAAAATACTAGTCCTTAAAGTGAGTACAGGTGATGTCACTAAATTAAAGTTCCTGCTCTTTTTTGAGTTTTTATTTTTATTGGATTATTGTTCAATAATTAATTATTGAATTGAATGTATTTTAGAGTCTTTATTCATATTCCCCCAAACTTAAAGTGAGAGTATCAAGTTAAAAATGAGAACAGCAATACTGACTGGCAATTTTTCTTTAACCCTGCTTTTTCTTTCCCCAAGTTAATGCTGAAGGAAGTTATATATACTTAAAAAATCAGTTCAAGCATAACCTCCTCTAATTCCTTGATCTTTTACCTCAGTGTTTTACCCACTGCCTCTGACGGTCCAAATCAGGGCCCCACTACCCTAACAGTAACAGTAATAATAATAACCACCATAGGTGCCAAGCATAGTAGGGCTTCACATGCACCATTTCATTTCATCTCAACTATCACTATCTCTGACTATCACTATTTCTATTTCACAAATGAAACTTACAAGTCCTTGAGTGTACAGAGCTTGCACTTTACACTAAGTTATCATTTTCTATGATTCACCTCTTCAAAGCACTTACATGAAACAAAAATCATGGTAAACTTTAGAAGGGAAGGCATGATGCATTAAGCAGAATTCTTATCCTATACGGTCATATTTGAAGCTGAGGCTGGAATTGTTCAAAGGATCCTTCCCTTGGTCAAGACACGGTTTAGTTTCACACGTCATGTAGCTGATCGATAGGTGTGTAAAAATGAGTAAGCTCAGGTGCCTGCTATGTCTGGCAGCTCACAACAAATACTCTGGCTACACTACTTAGGGACAACCAAGCATTACGGAGGAATTATGAACCTACATGCCCTCTACTTCCCGAAGCTCTCGGGCCTACATTTCCTCCTCTTCTCAGACTTCTAAAACCAAACAGAACTTGGAATGTAAGGGGGCAGCAGGCCACGTTTGGAGATAGCCATAGTCACTTTCTTCAGGAGTCTCTCTTGTGGCCCCGTGCCCAGGGCTCGGCTAGAGAGGCAGGGCTTTCAGAGACCCCCAGAACTCGCGCGGCGGCTCCCCGTTCAAAGCACCAGGTTACCGTGACGGAACGGCGTCCTGCGGCTCCAGGCCTCAGCCACTTGCTTCTTTAAGGTTTCCTCCATGACAGCGGCCGAAAACTCCGCCATGACCTCCTTTTTTCCTTTTTTCCCTGCCCGACCCGGGCGGGGCTCAGCCGGCCGTTTCCCATTCATCTCCTCACAAGCTACAGACCCACAGCACACTATCAGGCAGCGACTTTTCTATGGATACTACAGTTCCCAGAACACCCCCTTTCCCGTGTTCCCCAGCACCCCCAGTAGGAAGTACCAAAGTAAGAGGAGGTGGAATCCTTACAGCACTTACCAATGGAAGCTCCAGATGTTTCGGCAATCCCAACAGCGGTTGGCCCAATGGTGGCAGGTCACCGCCTCCCTACTTCCTGCCGCCAGAGGCTCCGGAGGCACTTCCGGTGTGCGTACGCCTCCTCTAGCGGTCTCACGTTAATGGCGGTCTGCGTCTGCTGAGGGGGACGCAAATAACTCTGTGGGCCCCGGGACAGTCTCCCTGCCTCCTTCACTTCCGTTCGCCTCCAGTGCCCGAGGTCGGCAGCATGTCGGTGGTGCCACCCAATCGCTCGCAGACCGGATGGCCCAGGGGGGTCAACCAGTTCGGCAACAAGTACATTCAGCAGACCAAGCCCCTCACGCTGGAGCGCACCATCAACCTGTAAGTGCGGCCTGGCTGTTGCGCGGCCAGCGCCGGCATCCCCTGCCTCGTGAGCGCCCCTAAACACTCCGGTCTTTTTCTTCCGGCGCGCCTCCAGCCTTCGGCGGACTCCACGCCGCCCACCACCCCACTCCCGTGCGCGGGCGCGTGTTTCTAGTTCCCACACGCCTGTTCCTCGTTCAGCAGCGCCGCGGGGGGAGTCCTGCTTCAGCGGCTTTTCCTTTTCCGGAAAGGCTGGCTCCCGGGCCACTGTTCAGTCATTATGGGAAAAACCCAAGTTTTCTTTGAACTCATCCTTTCTCCACCTCTCCAGAGGTGATCAACCACAAAACGTGTTTTATCTTAACGGTCCAAAGTTCAAGTTTCACATCACGCATGTGGTATTGCTTTTATTTTATGTGAATGGTATAACGTAGTATCGTTTTTTGCTGTTCTCACTTTTCTCTCAACAGTAAGCTTTCGCTATCTAGCTATAATGCTTAGGTTTTGTTTTCTCCGTCAATTTATTGCATTTCAGCTCATGAATACACCACTTTTTATTCATCCGCTCAGGGTTATCTGGCCTACCCCATGCATTCACACGTCTTTCCTGCCCCGGCGACAGCATCCAGGCACCCGCTAGGCCCCACCTTGGGAGGGTGGATACTATTATGGTGGATACTTTATGACCGTGGAGGGGACCAGAATGTATCCCCAAGAGAACCCGTGTGGGCTACGTTTTATTTTCAACCCTTTCTGTTTAAGCACTTCAAGCCACGGCATTTAGAGATCTGTCAAAAATAATTTATCTGTGGCATGTATTTTTCCCTTGGGCAATGTCTTGCTCAAGAAATTGTCAGTGTGCTTTTTTTTTTTTTTTTTTGTGAGTTTGTGAGGCACCGTGGTGCTGACCCTGATGAAAGAAAGTGGTGGGTTTATGCTGGGCAGTGTTTAAAAGGTACAAGGAGTTACTGATACTAGAATTTATCTGTTTCATATTAATATTAATGAACTTCCCCCCTCAAGGGCGATTTGAAATAGAAAAGGTGGTTATTGTTTTATTTGGCAAAACAGCTGCTGGCTTGGAAATTTCAATAATAAAAATGTCGGGTTTATGAGATCTGGAATCGTAGATAGCTGTGTATACACAAGTTGGTATCTCTAGCTATTACATTAACGTGATAACATTTAAAATTAATATCACTTACTTAAAAAAATCTTCGTAAGATCCCAGGAAGTGGAAAAGTGAAATGTTCTTTTAAAGAAACATCGAAACACAGCTTTGGGATCACTTTCAGTGGTAATTACAACTAGGACTCAGTTTCCTCTTGATTTAAGTTGATTACTGGATCACTTTGCATCAAGCCATTATGTAGAATTAACTTGAACAAAAATGTTTTAATCTTCACTCCATTGAAGTTATGGGTTGATGGATTTACGGTTCTTCTTGTCTCCTATATGAGTATAGTGTTCAGAAATAATCATCCTGTTGTGAACTCAGTTCACCTGGGTGAGTAATGATCTGAATTGAAAACCAGTCCTCTCTCTCTCAAGTGTATTTTCTTTTAGGAAATATTTCCATGAATGCCTGTTTTGGACCAGGCACTGTGCATAATGCTGGGTATACAGTGGGGATGAAGTAAGATGTGGAATCATACAAGAATCATACAAAGCTCACAGTATGATGGGAATACTTTGGGCTGGCACTCTGATTTCACAGCTGGAAATTCTTACATTTCATCTTCATGACATCTCTTTCTTATGTGAGAGCTGGCTTTTGCAGCAGAGATGTGTTATAGTGCTCCTTAATTTAGTTTGCAGAAAGAGAGATTATCCATTAGCATCCATAATTAATGGTTTCTGATTAGATTAGTAGTCAGAGGAATCCAAAGGGATATTAGCCAGGTTGGCAGCAATGATCTGAAACTGGAGGATTATCAGGTAACCAGGTAGTCACTTCTCTAAGCACTTAGGGTTCTTAAGAATAGTGTTATCAGCGCTTGAAAGCACAAGTGTGGAGTAGCAGCTTAATTTAATGGAAGCTCTGGTTTTAGGAGTCCAAAGAGCTGGATTCTAATCTCTGCTTTCACATTAACTAGTTGTGTAGCTTTGGACAAGTCCTGTGTCTCTTAGTACAATTAATACATTTCATATCATGGCTTCTGTATATGTGATTGGTATCTGTCATGATAAATATGGTCTTCAGTTCTCACGTTAAATGTTCGTGTTTGGATTACAGGTACCCACTTACCAATTATACTTTTGGTACAAAAGAGCCCCTCTATGAGAAGGACAGCTCTGTTGCAGCCAGATTTCAGCGCATGAGGGAGGAGTTTGATAAAATTGGAATGAGGAGGACTGTAGAAGGGGTTCTGATTGTACACGAACACCGGCTACCCCATGTGTTACTGCTGCAGCTGGGAACAACATTCTTCAAATTGTAAGTGTCACTGGAAATTAACAGCAAGACAGTTTTTAATAGGATTGCTGGTTTATGCAGATCGGAATACAATTCTAGCCGTTAGTCATCTCTTTCAACTAGCACTGCTTGTTAATGGACTCTTCAGAAAGAAAATCATGAGTAATTTTTCTCCAGTGTAGTGCTCATTTATTGTCTAACTAGAAATCTGCCTGTTTCTGTATGTTGTTGATATTAATGACTGAGCTTGATAGAAACCCTGTGAAACAAACTAGTGCAATTCAGTTTCTAGATGTCATCATAGCATTACTAAGAGCAATTGATACTATTTCTTAGGCCCAATAGTGTTTCCTATTCTGAAAGCAACTTATATTTTTATAGATGAACTGTTTAGTTTCATCATTTAAGCTTAAATCTCTCAATATATGTTCAGTCCCCAAATATTTGACAGGATTATACCAAAAAAGAGAGCTCTCAAATACTTAGATTGGAGTTCTTAAGAAATGTCCCATTCTTCAGACCTGAAGAAATGCCTCTCTGGGCAATTCTGGACTCCATTATTACCAGATAGCTTTCAGAGAGAAGCAGTTGGAATGGAGTGGTGGCCAGCAGTTACGTTATGTTACATGTTTTGTTCATTTAAAACCAGGGTTTGTATACTGTTAGTCTGATGAATTAACATTATGAATTCAACTTTCCAGCATATTCTTCCCCCTCCCTTTGATATTTTTTTTTGTCCTGATTGCCTTATTGGACACTGAAATATGTATAATTCATTTACTTGATAGAGATAACTATTATTGTGTTCTTACTGTTAGCCCAACATTGTATTAAGCTGAAAACTGAAATTCTTAACCTTTATACAGACCTGGTGGTGAACTTAACCCAGGAGAAGATGAAGTTGAAGGATTAAAACGCTTAATGACAGAGGTATTTTCCTATTTTACCACTTAGATTTTTTTTTTCTGTTGTTCATCTGAATATCATCAAACTTAAATGGCTAATTAGTCTTTTTATGTCTTGTGAAAAGGTTAAATTTATTTTGAATATTTTTCAGTAAGTAAAACTTAATCCCCCAGAGTCTTAGTAGTGTTTGTTTGCAAATTGAACTTTTATTTACTATATATATATATATATTTTTTACTGAAATGTTGATATAACAATAAAACAAAACAATAATAAATAAAAGATAACATTCATTGAGTACTTACTGTGCTGGGCATTGTTCTAAGTCCTTTACAATAACTAGTCTAATCACAATAATCCTAGGAGGTAGGTACTATTAATCCTGTTTTACTGATAAGGAAACTGGGGCAAAGAGAGTTCAAGTAATGGGCTTGGTGTTCACAGCTTGTGTGTCATGGAACTGGAGATGTGAATGCAGGTAGTTTTGTTCTAGCATAGGCCTCTAGAATTTTTATAAGAGAATGATTCCTGTTGTATACCTTTTCACTGTTGCACATATCTTCTAGGCATTGCCTAAGTTGTACTACTATTTAGGAGTCACCCTAATGTTTGTCTCTAAAGGCTTGGGGCCAAATACATAGATGCTAGAGGTTTTTGAGATTATAGGTTCTCATTATTGAGTGTTTTTCTTTTTTACCATACAGTCTGCTCCCGCTCCTACAACTACAGGAATAATTTGTATTTTGTACAAAAGCCTTAGAAAATACAGAAAAGCAGATAGAGAAACAAAACTATCACCTCTAATTTTACCACTTTGACCTATTGGTTTGTCTTTCTAGTTAGTATTTTTCTAAGTGTGTTAAGTTACTGTGCTTGGACTTCCATTTATATGTGGTAGATTGAACCTACCTGCTTACCTTAGCTCATTCTCAAAATCACCAAAAAGGCAGTAAAGGGGTTTTGAATAGATTCAAATTCAGTAGGATTGAGGGAGTACAAAATGAGACAGTAGCATGAAAAAAGTTTTAGAAGCTGGAAAGCAGATGGGTAGATCATAACTGTCGTAGCAGAAAACAGCCCAGCAGGCAGTGTGGGACCCAGCACTGCAGAACACCAGAAATGCTGAGGAATTGGAGGTGCCAGCTACCTATGGAAGTGAGAGCATGCACAGACTGAAAACTGGATTGACTGACAGTCTGTATGGGATGTATTTATATACCTCAGTTGTCTTACCCACTCTGTATAGTTAGATAAAGACTGGCTGGTTATTGATTCTCTT